CGGCTGCAGAGATGGGAAGGGACCATGATTTGAGAGGGATGTGGAAAGGTGATGGGAGGTGCAGGAAATATGTGATGGAAGGGGTGCTGGAGTTGGGGAACGTGCATATGAAAGACGGGGCCTCATGTTTAGGTTTCGCCTTAGGCCTCACAAAGTCTAGAGCCGCCTCTGGGAGTGAGGACCCAGCAAACAGAACACACACAGGAACAACTGAGCTTAATGTTGTATAAAGTAGTTTTGCAGCAATGCACAATGGGATCCTCTATAGAGGACTACAAATCTCAGCAATACTTTATACAGAAATGCTATTGTTATATAAAGTATTGCTGGGATGTGTAGTTCTCTATAGCCTTTGCCATTCGGCATTGCTGTAAATATTAGGGTTGCACCGATAGATCGGCCGCCAAAACATATCGGCCGGAAATGGCACTTTTGGCTAAATGCTGACAGTGCCATTTTTCTGCCGATACAGCAGCGCATCCGTGCTCTTTCTTCCATGTTGGGCGCTGCTCTGTGTCCCAGCGGGGTGGAGAGAAAGTGTGACAGCAGGCCGAGCGTTGCGGGGGGAGAGTGCTGTGTTTGTGGGGTTTTTTGGGCGGGCAAAATAAATCTTGCACCAGGGCCCTTTGTTCCTTCGGTCCGCCACTGTTCCTGAGCCCTGTTACCTGCTTATGTTCCTGAGTGCTGTTGCTCTACTCCCCAGGTTTACCTCCCGTGTATTATCTGTGTCCTCTGTATAAGGATTCCTATGAATACGAGTCTCAGCCTCGCCCTGTGTAGGAGTGTACAGAACCTGTCACACTGGTTAAGGAGTGTCAGAGACTTTCACTTCCCTCTTCTACTGTCAGCGATGGCGTCTGGTAATCTGAGAGCCGAGCTGGAATGTTCCGTCTGTCTGAATACTTACACAGATCCTGTAACGCTGAGATGTGGACACAACTTCTGCCGGGATTGTATTGGTCGTGTGCTGGATACACAGGAAAGGTCTGGAGGATATTCCTGTCCTGAATGCAGAGAAGAGTTCCAAGAGCGGCCTGCACTGCACAGGAACATAACATTGCGTAACATAGAGGAGAATTTCCTGTCTGCTCAGCCAGATCAGGAGGAGTCCGGGGTCCTCTGTACTCAGTGTTATCACACTCCTGTACCTGCTGTGAAATCCTGTCTGCTGTGTGAAGCTTCTCTGTGTGACAACCACCTGAGAGTCCACAGCAAGTCCCCAGAACACGTCTTGTGTGACCCCACCACTTCCCTGGAGAACAGGAAATGCTCCGTCCATAAGAAGATCCTGGAGTATTACTGCGCTGAGGACTCTGCCTGTATCTGTGTGTCCTGTTGTCTGATTGGAGGACATAAAGGACATAAGATGGAGTCACTGGATGAGGCCTCGGAGAAGAAGAAGAAGAACCTGAGGAATGTTCTGCAGAAACTGATGACAGAGAGAGAGGAGACAGAGAGAAGAGTCCAGAGTCTGGAGGAACACAGGAGGAAAGTACAAGGAGAAGCAGCTGGTGAAACAGAGAGAGTCATTGCCCTGCTCAGAGACCTCAGGAGACGTCTGGAGGACCTGGAGAAGAGAGTCCTTAGTGAGATCTCCGGGCAGGCAGAGCGGACCTCCCTCTACGTGACGGATATGATCCGGGAGCTGGAAATAAAGAAGGACGAGCTGTCCAGGAAGATGCGTCACATTGAGGAGCTGTGTAACATGACGGATCCACTGACTGTCTTACAGGAATCAGACACAGGTGACTTGTGTGATACTGAGGATGGAGATGATGAGGACAGAGAGAGACATGATAGACTCCTCCATGATGGAGGGGATCTGGATGTGGCTGGGATCACACACACATTACACACGGGTATATCTGATATCATGTCTGGGGTAAATTTACAGGAAGGTCCAGGCACACATGTCTATCCACATTCTAGTACAAAGGTCAAAGGTCACATCACTGCTGAACCATCCAGGTCACGTCCGCGACCCACCCCCACTGTACAACGCTCACACCTCCAGGCTGGAGGACATAATATTGGGGCTGTACAGCAAACAAGGGGGGTGTCGGGGGTTACAGACATATTACTGGATGTGAACACAGCTAGTAATAATCTACATATATCACATGACAGGAAAACTGCAACCTGGTCAGATAAGAGTCAGAATCGTCCAGAAACTCCAGAGAGATTTGGGTGTTCTCAGGTGTTGAGCAGTCAGAGTTTCTCCTCAGGGCGACATTACTGGGAAGTGGATGTCGGGGGATCACAGGACTGGAGAGTCGGGATGTGTTACCCCAGTATATGGAGGAGAGGATATCAGTCAGAGATTGGATATAATAAGCAGTTCTGGGGTTTGGGGAGGTGGTTGGATGATCAGTACTCAGTGATACATGGCAGTAATAGGATCCGATTACCCGGCAAACTCTCCAGTAACAGAGTCAGGATAGATCTGGATTATGAGGCCGGGCGGATCTCCTTTTATGATCTGTGTGACCCGATCCGACACCTCCGCACCTTCACCACCACCTTCACTGAGCCCCTCCATGCCGCGGTATGTGTAGGGATAGGTTCCTATATAAAGATATCTGGGGGGAATCAGAGGTGAGAAATCTGCCCGGAGACTGGTGACATCACAGGGCGGAGAATCTGATTGGTGGAATACTCAGCCAATAAAAAAGGAGGTTTAAATGTATTTTTATGTTATTAATAAAAAGACCGCTCTCTCATTTAGTTATATTTAGGGATGTCTGTACCTTTAACATATATATCTCCTTTAGAAGCCAATTTGATCCTAAAGGGTTAAACCATCAATTTGAATGAGGATCTCCTCTAATCCAAACTCATATCATATCACTGCTGCAACCTGCTCATTGATTCAGTGTATTGTTCTACTGGCGGGGACTCGCGATTCTTTAACTCAGTAGATTCTTTCGATTCTAAGGTCGGGTTCACACCTGGGCGTTTTTCACTGCTGATCGAAGCGCTGGAAAAAACGCTCTAACAGTGAAATCCCATACTTCCCTATGGGCATGGTTCCCAACTGGGCGTATTTCAGCCCGCGTATTTCAGCCCTGCGCCCAAACAAGTACAGGAGCTTCTTTGGGGCGTTTTTCTGCGCTTTTCGATTGGTATTCCCGAGTGTGGCTCGGGGTTAACAAAGCGGTAACCCCGATCCACACTCCTGAATACAGCGTAGGACTTACCTTGTCCGCGATCCCCGCTGTGTCCTCCAGCGGCTCCCAACTTCCGGGTTCCGTCCCTTGCGATCTGCCGCGTCGCAGGGGGGCGAAACCGGCGGAAGTTTGAAAGTTAAAACAAACAAAAAACAATTTTTACAAAATATAGAGAAAATGAAGGATTTAAAAAAAAAAAAATCATACCGCCAGTGAATTGCGCGTTTCACTGAACGGAAGAACGAGCAGAAAAAGAGTGCCTATGCTACGCCCAGGTGTGAATCCAGCCTAAAGGTGCCCACACGGGAAATCTCGCGATTATCGCACGATTATCGCAAGGTGTGTGGAAGGTGTGCGACCTCTGCTCCTGTAAGGTCGCACGACTTATCTTAGGAACACGTTCGAAAACCCGAAAAGAATCGTACGATTGTACGCACACTGCCCGTTCAGCATTGCGGTCATCGGAAGCACGATCTGCCTACGTTTTTTAAATTACCTTACAACCCTCGCAGGATGAAATTCTTGTGAGTGTTGTAAGGTATGTGCCCAGCATTAGACTCCGTGTACTGTGAGTCAGAGATGTGATTGGTTGCAGGGGTGGGCTGGGAGGGGCTGGCAGAAGCCTGGCTTTCACTCTAGGATCATATTACTAGACCTGCTAGAGTCTCTGCTATACATTCCACACACTGACAAGTCACACTGAGCTGCTTCAACACGGATCACCTCACTCAGATGAATCAACTCCTTCAGTTCACTAAATAGAATCCATTCAAAAGAACGATCCGTTCATGAACTAAACATCTCTAACTGTCATCTTCATCCTCAACTATATTTAATTACTGAGTGTGTCACTGACCAGGAATATGCATGCAGGAGATCAGTTGATTCAGACTTCACTGGCTGTATGCTTGTTCCGGGTCAGTGACACACTAGGTATTGTGGACAGGTGACGGGGGGTATACAGTCTCAGGAAGTGGAAATCCTCAGCTCTGTATATGGGAATATTGATGAATGATTGGATATAGATATAATGATGGGACGGACTACAATCCTCATTCTCCCCTTCAGTCCCGGCACCTCTATGATCCTTATGGGGCAGAACAATGGTTACATTTCCTCTATGGTCCTATTCATGTGATAAAGAAAAATCCTTCTGATCTGCGTTACTAATGATGAGATGACATCACTAAGTGCTTCTATGCTCATGTTGGGTTCTTTCTAGAATAACAGGCTGACTTGCTGGAATGACTTTACAGAAAGATGTGATTAGAACAAATGGTTGTTCTCCGGATCCTTGGAATGTCTTGTTGTAGAACACAGTGACAGTTGGTCTCCTTGTTCTACAATGAGGTATTTGGGGGTCTGGAGGTGGGACAAGCTGATGAGGTGTTCTGAGATGACAGAAATGAATGTCTCTTGTAATGAATGATGTGCTGCTTGTACAAATTCTTCACTCAATGATGTCATAGGTCACATGTTTATGTTTGGGGGCGGTCCTCCATGACAACTGTCCAGGATTGGAGGTCAGATGAAGAGGTCAGATCCTTGGTCCACCCGCCATGTCTAAGGATCTCCGTGTCTTCATCTCTCTACTTTCTCATCTTTACTTTTACTTTGTAACTCTTCTCTTCTATATACAATGGTTGTTAGAGTCACCATGGGGCGTGTTTTGGGTGTTTATTGGCATTTTTGGCTTATTTTAGAAATAAATGATATTTTAATCAGAATCATTTCTCTCGGGTGTTGTGTCTATATGTGTGAGGTCGGACCGCTTTATCTATCACATTTACATTACAGACTATCTATCTCATTACATACAAGCTTTTTATGTTTGCCTGCACCGCACTATGGGTGGGTTGGGGTCTTTTTGATTCTTTTAGTCTCTTCTCACCATCACCTGTATGGTTACACTGTCCCGTTGGGTCCCAAACCCTACTCCATAGAAGCCATGGTTTCCATACACTGCCTGATGAAGGCCAAATAGCCTGTAACAGCTGTATGTATCGCTTCTCGGCCTTTTGGCTAAGATCAAGTGTAGTATCTGTTCTTATCAGTTGTAGGAGGGGAGAGGATGTTGCCACCCGATGGGAGAACATCTAGTACCCTCTGACGTAATGGTGGGTGTCGGAGGACGGTTCGGTCCACTGCTAGTTGCGTCAGGCCCTGATGTACGGGTAGACCCTAGACAGTGGGAGGACCCCCGAAGGCACTACCTCCTGATGTGAGCGGAGAACCACGGGGTCTGGCCCAAGGGTTCGGGGGCGGCAGAAGCCCGTGGTGTTGTGCCCCCTGGGGGTGGCGTCCCAGGGGTGCTCAGGAAGTCACATGGGTGTGGGACCCCACATGACTCACTGGCACTTGGTCACACACCACCTTGCAATTTTCTGCACTTCGCCTCCAAGACAGGCCTTATGGCTAGTCTGGGGCAATATTTTTGCACTCCGGCCCCTAAGGCCTGTCAGAGTGGTGCACTGGCACTTTAGATTTATTTAAGCACTATATAGACGTTTGGCACTTTTTTATTTTAAATTTTGACCCACAGATGCTGAAGGTTCAGGTTTCTTCGGGGCCTATTCCTGACGCTGGGAGGAGATTCTGTGCCTCCTATGGGGT